AGAGTTTACTGAATGACTTCCTCTTCTCACTGCCTCAAAGAGATCAAGCTGTGCGCGAGAGCAGGTGAATTCGTCAAAATTGCCCGGAATTGTTTGTGACGTTTGAGGCAAATCAATGAATATTCATTTAACACGCTTCTTTTCAGGCTCAAAATTGCCTCCATGCGCCTATGATAGGCCCAATTATACGCTCGTTAGGAGAGTGTGATAAGATTTAAAGCACTTACGGTCTCGCCCTGCGTATGAAGATATTAAAACCGGTGTTTTTCACCTGAAAAATGCCACCAGGCAGTAACGCTTTTCCACCCCATTAAATGCCACGGACTTTATATGCGCGCAACCCAGCGAAAATTTAACAGAATTTTATTTATTGGCATTAAATGACTGTTGGAAGTCATTTCATGGTTTATTATTGCTCCAGACTATCTCTATATACATAAAAATTCCATGCGCCTCTCTTGGCATCTCGGCTTCCACTCTCCTTCCTCGCGCACTAATTTATGCATTTGCATTCATTTGTGCATATTTTTATCAAAATTCACCTCTCACTCTTCTTCACGACATTGTTCTTATTATAATTTAATTTTTGCGCCCATGAAAGAGAGAGAGAATGCGTCAGAAAAAAGAAGATCCGTGCAACTGTTTCTCCTCTCCTTGGGTTTTTTTCTACAGACAATAAACAATCTTTTATATGGGACTTTCGTGCATTAAATTTAATAAAAAGAGTAATCTCAGAGAGAAGATCCGTCGTAAAAAAGTGCACGAGAGGGAAGACTTTATGCCGATAATCGATGAATTCCTCAGTGTCAATACGAAAGACTTCAATAAGGCGACGAACCTGATTCAATTCCAACGTGTTAAACATCCACTGGGCAATGAAATTAATTTTATTGCTCGACAACACATAACACCAACCCCTCTTTTAGATGCACTAAATCGCTTATTGCAGTTTTGACGGCGATTCCTGTCACTTTTATGCCTTCCAATTTTTCCCAACTCGCGCTGGTCCTCGCCAGAATCTCGCCGTGCTTGCAAGCGGCTTCGCCATGCGCTCTCGTCGCTCTCTTCTGCAGCACTTCCCATTGAACTGTGTGTAAATTTACATATAATTAGACGCTATTAATACACATCTTTCTTTTCCGTGAGCCAAAAGGCAAAACAGCCACCATTCATAAATCTCCCAAATGCACATATTTTCCGTGTATTCTGTCTATCCAAATAATTAATATTCCCGCCGTGTCATCGTAAATCTCACTAAAACACTCTTAAAATTTAATAATAAAGCATAAAATTACATTTTCGTGTATGGCATAGATAAAATTTGTACAAACGCGCGACTCGGAAAATTGTCACATTTCACTCTATTCGAGATAATCATCGTGATGTTTCAATTAAAGACGCGCGGGCAACACAAGAACCATAATTTACTACGCGTGTGTTTTTTGTACGCAGAGAGCCAAAAAGCACATCATCGCGAGGAAGGCTGAAAAAAAGTGAGAAAGTCGTAAAACAATTCACACCCCAAAGGCCATTTGAATTAATTTCTTTTTAATTGCAAAAAGAGAGGCTTTATTGCATTTTTGTCTACCCTTAGACCAAAACACAGCAGCAGCGGAACAATTGTGGCCGAGAGGGCGAGAAGAGGTGTTTCTTTTTATGCCTGTTGGTAATTATAAAATTATACCTCAACAAGAATGTTGAGATTAAGCGCAATAAAAGAGACTCGCGCCTTCCATTCAAGAGCAGTGCAAGATAAACTTCAACTGTGTTATTGATGAGAGCTTCAGAAGGAAAGCTAGACATTGGGATTCTCGTGGATCATCCAAAGTGAGTTACAGTTTATTAAATATCTGCAAGATCACGCAAGGAGAAGCTTTTTCGCAATTGAATGAATGCAAAAGGAAGAAAAATGGTATCTTTTCGCTTTACACACGAAATTATTGTCTCTCGAAGACTCTTAATCTCTGTGCGCTGCCTTTCCGCGGGTCTGTTTGCTCAGGATGGAAATGTGGCACCCCAAATATGATGTATTGAGGTGTGCATGTAATTTGGTAAAACACAAAGTATATTTCAGTGTTAATTTATATCGAGAGGCTGAGCGTAATCTCGCGGGTTTATTTGAGAAATTTGGCCATTTATTCAATGTTACCAAATCCGCAAACACAAATTTATAATGCAACCGCATCCAGGCGAGCACGGGAATGCGACAAAGGGAGAGGTTGCCGGAGAAAAAAACACTTAAATGGCGAATTATTAATAATTCTTTTCTTTTGCATGTCTCGCGTGGTATCATCTGAAGATTAAGGAGGAAGAGAAGGCAGCCAAAAAGCGCATGGCGAGAGGACAAGACTCTGGCTGATGCTGGAGTACTTTGTAAGGTGGAGGAGAGAAAAAAAGAATGGTGGGCAAATAAAAGAAAAGAAAGGAGGAGAAATAAGGAGAAAGACAGAGAGAATAAATGTGCCAATTCAAAAATTTATGTGGGTGTATAAATATATTGATCTGATAAATGTATAAATCAATAAAAAGCAGCCGCGCGCAGCAAATTGTCTTGCACAAATTTCTCAACGGGCTAAACCCAATGATAAATGGTTTTTAAACAAGATAATTGAATTTAAACATACACATTCACATTTGTACAGCTCCCCTCGCGCCGAATGAGTGGAACAAGTCGATAATTATGTAGACACTAAATTGTTGTAGATCTTCAGATCGATTCTCTTGCCTCCTGATCTTCTGCGCCGCCCGCCGCCCCTCGGGCCGCCGCGCATTGGGATGCATCATATCGAAATGTTGTACAATTTAACCAGTGAATTACACGAAAGATCAAACACATCTCACTGCGTGCCTCGTCGCCCAACTCTGTGAAATATTACATGTGTTGAGCACACAAATCCCCGACTTGAATTTGTGAGAAATGCAACCACTTCATTTCCCCGCGCCATTGCACAAATTATCATCGCATCGTGTCGATTGAACATAATTTCCTCTGATAAATTTCATCACATTGGGGGCCGTCGAGGGGCGTCCAAGTAGCATTTCGTGGGGACACAGATTCCGCGCGCTAAGGATCCGAAAAGCCAGAGTCGCTGAACTCTGCAAATTACACACGCTGATCATGGCTTAGCATAGAGAGGAATTAGCCTAAAGGCGATCTGACTCGTGGACGCCAATAATTCAATAAATACTTACAGAGCATGAGCAAAGTAGGGGAACGAAGACGATCTCGCGACTACTTAAGGTTAAACTCAATGCCAAAAATGAGCCACAAAATGAGGGCATGTTTGTGAAGAGAAATTTCAAGCTAAAATCATTTGAACACCCGCAGAATGGATGATTTTGACAAATACGATATTGTCTGATGCAACCAACGAGACCATTTCGTGTGACGAACTTCAGCTTTGACCCAAAAATAGCGAAACACTATGAAATCCATCAAACTAGATTTATTGTTGGCTCTGCTGGGGTTTTTCTGTCGCAGGGAATCGATGATTAATCAATGTAATATGCACACGACAATTTACCATCTCAATGCAGGTTAAGCAGAAGATCCATTTCCGATTCAAAGTATCGGCGACCTGCAATGCGATAAATCGCATCTAAAATGCTAATGGATGATCGTCTCAATCAGCGCCGGACTTCGGCATTTCCGCGGAATCGTTCCGCACGATCTCGCGCGGTCTGGAGTCAATAAATCTATTTCGCGGTGTCAAGTGACACACAATTGGCCATTCTTGTGAAATTGGGACTATTTTGGGCGCGATGGTGCATCGGAAACCGTGCCACGTCGATCTCGCGGCGACAATGATCTCTATTGAACCATTAAAGAGTATCTCGTGAAGTCCAACACAACAAATTTACAAGTGTCGAATGTGTGGTGATCCCATGTTGCTTTTGGTTGTTTAATGCGCACCGTGGCGAGGAGTTTAAATTTCAAGAAAAATAAAGCCACTGGCATTCTGTGGCCGGTTGGATTCCCAGTTTTCTCGGCACGCATGCCGCTCTCGCTCGCACTCGCGGCGGCGTAGTGCTGGCCGTCTCGCCACCCAATCGATCCCCTTCGGTCCCCATCATATATGTAGCACCATACCCACTTACCTGTGTGTATTTTAAAAGCGCGATCGCCACTTTTTCATACATTTACATCTTTCTCTCTCACTATTTCACCGCTCTCGGCCGCTCTACAATTTTTTCTCCGCCACAGAACATCGTGTAAGAATGATCACACACTCGATCGCGCGCTGCATTGGTGTGCCTGATATTGGCGATCATCATCGTCTTTTAAACTAATGCGCGAACACCGATCAAATATCTCATTTGTACTGAAGTAAAATTTCAATATGACATCCTCTTCGCTCCTATTGTTCGGCCACAATGTCTGGAATGCAGACTCCAACCAGCTGGTTAAACAAGAATATCTCTTTCTGCCCCATGGCGATCGCAATTATGGTCAGACAAAGATCGTGCACCATCAGCGATGATCGTCATCGGCCGGGGTCGCCGAGATGCGAGATCCTCAATGATTCGGGATGCTGGAATGCGCCATCCAGAGTGATCCTCGGCCATTGGGTGTGAGTCAACTGTCCTGCATTCCTCGGCCGTGAGTCGGTGTGCGAGAATGATCCTCAGATGATGATGATGACGGCGCACACACGCTCAGGTGCGCCGCGCGCATGTGTTGGTGATGAGATTCTTATACCAGGTACACTGCAGCCATCCGACTGGCGAGTCAGTCTCACGCTAAATCTCGCACCGAGCAGTTGTGGATCGAGAGCTCAGCTCCGCGATGATCGTTCTAAATTTCACTGAAATCAATCATCCCACTTTCGGATTGTAGAGAGGACAGGAGTCTCTTGCGCTGTGAGTGATGGACTGTTGAGGTGCGTTTGTGAGAGAGATTTCGGAAGGAATTGTGCGAATTGTGCCAGTGTGATCAGGACTAGGAGAGCGCGTGGATTAGCCCTATGCAGATTTGCATGATGTGGTGAGGAGCAGCCATCATGCTGGACGTGAGATCGATTGAGTTGGGCGATCGGCAAGATTCAACCAGTGATATGTCATTCAGCAGGAAACGTTTTCAGCGACAGGCGTGTCTGTTGAGTGTGATGGCTGCATTTTCGCTGGGACTGGCACTGGGTGCCTTTGTACCTATCGGTCTCACGGGCGATCGTGACAGCAGGCCGTCGGCCGTGGAGCCGCTCGTCCGCGAGGACGTGCACCGGCGTCGCCTGCAGAAGTCCCTGCCCAACATCTACGTGCCAGTGTCCTTCGTGCAGGACGACAACGGGGACATCGTGCCCGTGACCGAGGAGCAGTCCGTAGAGTTCCTGCCCAGCGATCCCAACCTCGATCTCGAGGGGATCGTGTCGGAGGGCATCTACTGGGGCGCCAGAGTGGAGGAGCGCCTGCCCAAGGGCTTCGACGCCACGGACACGGACGCGTGGCGGGATTACGTGAGTGGCAGCTTCGTGGTGAGCCTGAAGCCGGGCTGCGGCCGCATGCAGAACAGGCTGGTGCAGTTCAGCGACGGCCGAAGGGCATGTGCGCGCTATCGGCAGAACACTGACCAGATCCAGGGGGAGCTCTTCAGCTTCTACCTCGGCCAGCTGCTCAACATGAGCAACCTCGTGCCCAGCACGGCGTCCGTGATCGACACGCAGTCGCCGCTCTGGGTCTCCGCCGCGCAGGACATCGCCAACGCGCAATGGAAGATCCAGCGACCGGTGGTGTTGACCAAGTGGGTGTCCGACCTGGAGCCGGCCGGCATTCCCACGCCCTTCCAGCCGTTGGACAAGCACATGAACAAGTTCGACGTGCGCAACATCACCCTGGGCCTGGACAGCCGCCCCCAGCGCGGCCTCATGGACCTCCTGGGCGCGCCCAAGAGCACCCCGAAGCCCATCCCGGCGCCCGGCCGCCTGGATCCCGTCAAAATGGACAGACTCGTGGAGCTGGCCCAATGGTCCGACCTGATAGTGTTTGACTATTTGATCGCGAATTTAGATCGTGTGGTGAATAATTTATACAACTATCAATGGAATGCAGATATAATGGCAGCCCCGGCACATAATCTGGCGAAGCAGAGTGATTCACAACTGTTGGTCTTCCTCGATAACGAATCCGGTTTACTGCACGGATATCGTTTACTGAAAAAATACGAGGCATATCACGGATTATTGCTGGATAATTTATGTATATTCAGGCGGACGACCGTCCAGAAACTGCAGCAACTCAGAGACGACGGCCCGGCCACGCGGCTGCAGCGCATCTTCGAGCAGAGCACCACGGACAAGGTGAGGGACATCCTCCCGCCGCTGCCCGACAAGTCCGCCAAAATCCTCATCGATCGCATCGATCGTGTTCTAGGCCAAGTGCAAAAGTGTCATGAAATGTTCACTGTGCAGAGTTGATGACTTTTTGCCCTGCGCGCGAGCGAAACATTTTGTTGTTTGTTTTGTTGGTGTGTTATTGTTGTTTCGGGATGGATGCAGAAAGATGATACAAGTGGAGGGCACGGAAAAAATTGCCCAGAGACAAGTTCGGTCTGGGGATGTGAACATGGAGTGCGTTCGAGATGTGAATGAAGAATTCTCTCTTCCCAGCCAACACGGAGGAGGCAGCGAAAGACAATTACTCAAAAGCGTAAAACATTTCCGATGGTATTTCTCATACTCAAATAATCTTTGCGGCCGCAACATGGAGCAAAAACGCGCTAATTATCTATGTAAATAGTAGTTAAAAGTAAAATGAAAAGTGGGAAGGAAGGAGGATGCGCGCAACTCCCAGGAAATATTGTAAATGGACTGTAAATTGTGATCGTCTTTTGTGTAATTTAACGTAATGTTCAGTCGCGCTCTTTATGCGATATTCAATATTTGACTTCATAGAAGAGGAAATTATGTATAGCAATGAATTTCAACCAAAAAGACACAAGAGACATGACGAAGAGAATGTTGATGTTCATCGCACAGCCCAAGTAGCCAAGAATGGTCCTTCTGACTACAGATTTTGATCTCATGTCACGAATATGACTGAAACTTCTAAATCTATCGAAATTATCGGAATCAATTATTCTCAATGTTTCTGTTAATTAACACTGATTGTCTACGAACAATCATGTTAATTGATACTCTTGCGACTCATCATTTTTATTTTTTCTTGGATGGCCTGCAGAATGTAAAAAAATGCATTCACTATGGCGAACATAGGAGAAGTGAAATACAATCATTCTTGGCTTCTTGGGTACGCATTGTGCAAATACGCGATCATGTCGAGTGACAGGCGTATCAGAGAATTTGTCGATTTCTGACAGATCTGTCACAATCTGTCACTGTGGCAGCAGAATATCAGTTATGTAAAGCATTTATATATATTTCTTAGCTCGTCCGCAATCGAAAAAAATTGCTGTCTGTGTGAAATTCCAAGAGACACCATATAATTGTAGATTTTAGTTATTTAATAACACTTAAAAGAATGGAATTGCATGCATAAATTTGCTGGAGGAAGGGGGAGAAGAAGGGGGTCTCGGAGCGCAAGAGACAGAGTCGGAGGGAGATAAAAAAGAGGCTCTCTTGATGTGTTATTATTGTATTTTGTGCTGAAGAGAACATGGGCATAGGATGAAAGGTACACACGGAGGAGAATATAATATTCGAAATCGTAAAACTCTTCTCTTCCTCGTGCCTTAGAACTTTACGGTCTGTTTTCATCTAATACATTTTAAAAAGAGACAACGAGAGAGAAGCTGAGACGCGAGAGGCCTTTTTATGACATGAATGTTAAAAATTATCTGCCTTTTTATGGAAAGTAGATTTATTATTGTAGGATATTTATGATACACCAGTCAGTCAAAGAGAGTTGATAGTTTAGCTAGCAGCATCTTTTGTGCACACAGCCACACGGCGCAAGACAAACCTCGCATACGGTTATTGATTCGGGACGACAAACACAATGAACATCATTTGGTTGCCTCAAACACTCCATCCATCGACATAATGCAAAACACACGCCACTTAAAATGGACACAAAAATTTCTCAAGTATCGCGGAGAGATGATGAAAATCCTCAACATCTCCCGAGGTGTCTCTCAAATATCCAGCAGTGCAGAACAGGGATCACTGCAAGACATCTCTGACTCGCTCTTTCACGGTCATCATGCATCTAAGTGGGTAAACAATGCCACAATTGAATATTTAGCGCTTCATTAACGATTTCATACTCATTCAGCGATCGTGAAATTTGACAGGAGAATCTCACGATGTGGTCAATGGACTGCCTTCGTGTCGGCTCGTGTGTCAAATTCCAAGTCACGAGAATCGCTGCGTTTCATGTCGCTGATTAACAGAAAAAAAATCGTTCAACTGAAATAGTGCAAAAAAGTACCGTAAAGTGACAAACCGACTTGATAAGTGGCATGAAATCACGAAAAACTGTCTCAAAGACCTCTTCAAACGCCCCACAACTCGCATCGCCGGTGCTCGCGTGAAAGAGACCATGATGGCCAAAGCCGGCGTGGATTCACTTAAGGCGATACAAATGTCCAAATATAATTTATAAATTGGCTGAAATATTGTGTGGCTTATCGGAATCGAATTAACGTGTGTTTTTTCACCAAAACACAAGAGACAACACCGCGAAGAAGAGGAAAAGCCACACTTTTCTGCCTTGTATACTTCTTCCTATGAATTCCTAATGAAATGCCGTGTTGCTCTTTTCGCGAAAACCGTTAATTCAAATTTTGCTCATATCTATAAGCCATAACCATTATCAGAAAATGGAAATTCTCTTATTCTGGTCGTTTTTTCCCCAACGCCATTGCCTTCTTGGCCGAAGAAATTATATGCAAAGTGGAGATGACGGAGGAGAAAACTGTTAAAACGATGACCCTCTCTATATATATTTTTTATTTCATATTATTTCAAGACTTTTTTTTTATATTTCTTCTGGCTGGAAAGATGCTGCGCTGAGAGACATTGGGAGAAGAATGAGAGATTCGTGAATGTAGAGAAGAGAATCCAACATTTCTCGTCCATCAAATCACTTTAAATACAATTTTCAGTACCTCGTAAAATATCACATCACGGGCCAGTCGAGGTGTCATTTTATTTGCCACATCGCAAAGTATATCATGTTCTGAGGCCACAAAATGATGTTTGCAATAATGAACATTATAATTTAACATTTGAATACTTTGAATTGTTTTTTTTTCAGTTTAGGTCAGAGTCTAGCGCGTAGAATTTGGCACAGAGACTCTTTTAGTTGATAATCAGTCTACTTTCTTTAAAAGGCTCACATTATTATCATTCGTGAACACATAGAGTTTCCATTGATGATATTTTGAATGATATCTCGAGCCTCAGTTGCAGAATTGAAAATGTAAATTGGATTTTAAAATTATCTATAATGTCAGATTCAAATTTGAAATATTCAGACAAGGGATTTTTGTATCTAGTATGTATCTAAAACACCCAGTTTGACGCACCGTGCAAAAATTAAACACTGGAGAAATAAGCACATTTTGTTCTTTCGTGTCTCCAGAAATGCAACACACATTGTCAAGTGACTATTTAAAGATTAATCGTCCTTCTTTTTCCACTCTCGCGCTCTCTTAATTTAAAAACTGGCACGAAATGGTCTGACAAGCGAAAATGCCTCACAAGACTTTCATCAAAAAATTGTCTTTCCCATTTCATGCTCGCGATCGTGTCTCATTCCTTTTGCCCATAAGTGCCATTATTGTGGAATAAATTGTGGACCGTTAAGAGGAGACCGTGCCTAATTCAAAATGAAATATATTCCTACGCATAGACATATGTCACTTCATTTTATTATTATATTGCACACACATTCCCAACCGGATGGCGAGAGGCATCGCTTGCCAATGTCTCGGGCGATGCAATTCAAGTTTTTCACGCGCGCAGGAGAGAAAAGTCCTCCTTTTGCGCGCCTCTCCTTCCGCGACAATGTGGGTACAATGTATCGGGCCTATTTAAATTATACGGAATAATACGCTTAAGTTTGTCACTAATGCACTCTGACGGTGGCTTTTTCGCCCGTCGCACTCTGTCTCGGCGCGCCCCCGGAGAAAACAGGAAAAGAAGTCAGCGCAAATCTTGCGAGACAATCTCTGATGTTTGAGATGTCAGAGAGTGTGACTGAAGAGCTGACTGTTTTCGAGAAATGTCCAAAGCTTCACTGAAATTTTGATAAGAGTTGATAGGAATTACTTAGCGATTAGTTGGAATTGTAGCATCGCAATCGATGATGAAGTGAAGAGCATTATTAGCATAGGAATTGCTCACGAGACAGCGACATAAATCACGAGAAAGAGACTTTTTAAGAGCAGCACCAAATAAGAAATTGGCGGAATGTTCCAATAGAAGTGGAGAAGAGGTGTTATAAAAAGGTGCAGTAAATCTTAATATTGACTATTTCGCTATTCAAATCAGATAATTGAAATGTTCCAATTGGCCTTTGACTTTTGTGAAACAGAAGCAGTCCTGATAAATTTATAGATCAATTTCTCTGGTTAGACTAAGGAAACAAAGATGACTTGTAAGTCATCAAGAATAAATAATGCACTAAAAATCACAGAATGTATAATTCATCATCGATTGCCAGAAGATGCACAAGTGTGAGATTAAGCGGTGTAAATTTGTAAAATAGTCATCTGAGAGAGATACAACAATATTTGTCATACGCACGAGCGATAGTGAAGTCTGTATTACTGTAAATAGTGTAATTAGAAGAGATCCTCTTAAACTATTATATAATGTAATTTATATTTGAAATAAAGTCTCGATCGAAAATGGAAATGTACGACCCAGTGAATATCTCAATTTGTTGCTCCGCTGGCTTCTTGGCGCGATGCTCGTTTTTGCCTGATGCCCAACGAGTTTCCAAGACATCTCGAGAGCGCAGCTCAATTCATGTGGAAATCCCTCAAGTCGGACCATCATCTAACTGTTTTCGGATACATCGATTGAACAATTAATTGGTGAATATTAAAATAAATCGCAGACAATTCATTATGAGCTCTGGGTGTTTGTATTTATCGCCCATCCAGTGGTGATCAAAACAACAAATTTGATATTTGAGCGCGAGAAGAGTGAGAGAGATTATTGAATTTTTCCTAGGTCCGAATCATTAGGAAGAAAAGTTGGCTCAATAGAGTTTAATCTCTTTCATTGTTGATTAATTGTTCAATATTAAACCGGTACAATCGAAATTGATTATCGCCATCTCCAGTGGGGCCTCTTGCAGGAAAGGTTGGAAAGGTGAAAATACAGCTGCTGCAGAGTAATTGTGGAGTGTTTGGAAAGGGCCACTTTTGCACTGAGAGAAAAAAGCTTCATCCTCGAAAACTGCCAAGATTCTCTGGTAAGCTGATTCGATTGATTTTCCTGCCAAAAACCACACACGAATGAGGACATCTAATGAAACAATTCATTCTCATTTTCCCCTAGACATTGTGGATTATCTTTCTATATTTGCACATGTCCTTTTTGGCTTGAAGATTCCTCATTTAACTCAGCCTTAGAAATTGCATAATTTCAAAACATTCTCCGGCAGAAACTTATTTTCATTGATTATTCCTAAAATACCTTATTGTTAAGGTGATCGTGAAATATTTCCTCTATAATCACATTCTTTAAATATAAAAATTCTCTATCAAACACTTTCCGTAAACATACGAAAACTTTTTAGTTTCAAAAGATAATTTGCTATTGATAGAAATCTAACAACCATCGTGAATTTCCAAGTTTCCTCAACTTGAAGCCTTGCTTTTTCTGAGTGCGCGTATTTCGGCCGAGTTGTCGGAGGGAAATGGCCAGGCGAATCCCTCGAAATGGCTCCAAGGAAGAAGTGATAGCGAGAGAGACGATCGGAGAGTTTGA